AACATTAATATTTATTTAATAATAAGATTATGATTTTAACTTTTTATTCAAACATATCCATACAAGGCAAAAACAGTAAAGTTTTTTTTAAACTCCTTGTTTTAATACATGTAATCCTGTTTTTAGCCTAAAAAATATTATCTGCAAAAAATACTTAAAATTAGGTAAATATTCTTAAATATATGATCAAATGTCCTTGTTTTGGGTCAAATAAATTCTGCCACTGGTGTAAACAAAAGCTGTTTGTCTAGAACTAGCAAATACTGATTATTTAGCTAGAATTCTATCCAAGCAACCTATCAGTTGCACTGTAAAAACTGGTTTCTAGGAAAGTTTAAAAAATAGCCTAATTTTAGGCATTTTATCTTATTTTAAGTGTAAAAGAAAAATTATTCTCTAAAATAAGGTAAATGTTCTTAAATATGATCCACGTTTTCCTGTTCTGAGAAAAAAATAATGTGAAAATGAAACTATTTTTACATTCAAATAAATCAGTTTTTGCAGTGCAACTGATAGGTTGCTTTGCTAGAATTCTTAAAACTAGCTAAATAAAATCGATTTATTCACTAGTTTTAAGAATTCTAGCTGAGCAAATGTTGCTTACCTCATTGACAGGTTTACTCAAAACAGGAACGTTCGGATCATATTTAAGAATAATTACCTTATTTTAGGTAATGACATTTTTCTAGAGATTGTTGTTTTTCTTAGAGTAAAAAAAAGATTAAAATGTCTAAAATTTAGTGTTTTTTACTTTCTTAGAAATCGGTTTTTGAAGTGTGATGAATATTTTCTAACTACCAGCATGTTTTGCCGCTCTGGAAGAAGAATAACATCTATTGGCAGAAAGGGAGAAGCTTCCAGGCTCCTGAAAGTCTCTTCTCAAGCTGATTTTCAGAAATATTAATTAAACTAATCTTCACGTCTCTTGTCTGGAGGAACATTTTTCATTTTTAAAGGTTTTTATTTGGGTCTGTACCCTGAGAGGCTTCACTGCCACCAACGTGAACCACTGAGCCATCTCAATTAGCAGAAGCAATCTTCTCTCCACTGTTGTCCCATTTTTCATCTAGATTCAACTGTTGAAGCTTAAAGGAAATTAGCAAGTAGCAGGCCAGAATCCACAATCAAAATTACTTTTCTGATTTTATTCACTCCACTTGTTTTCCTGCTGAAAAAAACAACAACTCTAATCTCATCTGTGTGCTGTGCCAGCTCTCTAATTTATTCCATCTGTCACTTAGCCTCCTATCACGGACGGCGCTGTTACAGAGCTGCTCACACACCATGGGATGTCTGAGTTTCTCAAATCCGAGCCTCCGTCTAAATAAATGTCAGGGAAATTAGAAGCAGAGTGCAGCCGCCTGCTAAAACTCAGCAATGTCCACCACGAATCAGCTCGCCACAAACCATGATCTCAGAGCATCAGGGCTGCAGATATAAATGATGTTTGGTGAGTAAAGATTCAAATTAGTTTTACAGTTGAACACACACACCTGTCAGGATTACACTAAGCTATAAAATATCCTTAAATTAAAGAAATTAAGTGAAATTCCTTGTACAGTGATCCCTCGTTTAGCGCGGTGGATGCGTTCCAGACCTGGCCGCGATAGGTGAAAATCCGCGAAGTAGGGACACCATATTTACAGTATTTAACAGGTACGTATTCAGTATTCAGACTTTTAAATCCCTCCCTTTACATAGAAAAAAAAATTACTTGGTTTATTTATAGTTTTATTACAAAACGTGCATTTTATGATGAAATTGATGAAAAAACTGGAATTTCTTGATATTTCGCATAGAAAAATACCGCGAATTGGTGAAAAATACCACGAATCAGCGAATTTCCCTTGAATAAGGCTCCAAAGAAAAAATCCGCGAAGTCGTGAATCCGCGATAAACGAACCGCGAAGTAGCGAGGGATCACTGTATTTAAATTGAGGCTGCATGGTATTGCAGTCACCTTGCAGCAAGAGGGTTGCAGGTTTGAATCCTGGCTGCAGTCTTTCTGCACAGCATTAGTAGTTTTGGTTAATTTAAAACCCTAAATTGTCGCTATGATGGACAGGAGACCTGTACTGGGTGACCCACGTCTCGCCTGAAGCCTGCTGGAGTTAGACACCAGCTCCCCCACGACCCTACAACAAGCAGTGAAGATCAGTGTGGGTTGTTTGGATGACTGAGCTGCACAGATGAACTTTGAGCGACTCACCCATGACCGATTGGCTATTAAAGGGTTAAATGACAGCTTATGGATCCATTATCACCCCATCCCTGGTTTCTGGTGAGCCTCCACAAGTTCACAGCCGTCCCTGACTGAGCTGAGACAGATTGGTCTGAGAAAATGGAGATGAGGTCATTTGTTTCTGAACATGAGCGGAGGGCAGCAACACTCAAACTCGAGGACGAACTCACATCCTGAGTTTTATTACTTGCCTCAAGGCTGAGTTTGATAAATGTCTGCTTCACACAGCTCCATGGCTGTGTTCAACATTTCACCTGCCATAACACCTGCAAACATCAAATGCAGCATCGCACACAGCCTGTAGGAGCATTCCAGGCCTCCAGTCACAGCAAGAATATCAGTACAAGTAGTTTTCTGGACCTGTCCTCTTTTCTGACTCTGGACTAAAGTGGATCTGCCTTTCAGTTGCTGATGAAGAAGAAAAAGAAAAAGAGAGAAAATTTATCATAGCCCAATGTGAGAGTGCAAAATTTCACTAAAGTGAAAAAAATAATCATTTTGTGAGGGACCCCCCCCCCCCCCCCATAAAATAAAAAAGCATATAGGTTTCACCCATGCATAAACAAGTGCCCCCGCCTGGGCCACCCCATTTAGAAAAGCCTGGACACACCACTGGTAAAACCCTAGAAGGCTCTACATGCTATCGACCATTTAGCTTTTTTGCCTGTGTCGGTGCTCAGATTTGACTGAAACTCTCTGTCTTTAGCTCTCGATTTACCAGTCGATCTACGTTCCTACCCTCACTTATGGTCACAAGCTTTAAGTAGCGACCGAAAGAATGAGATTGTGGATACAAGCGGCCAAAATGAGTTTTCTCCTCAGGGTGGCTGGGCTCGCCCTTAGACATAGGGTAAGAAGCTCGGTCATCCGGGAGGGGCTTGGGGGCAGGCTCCTCCATGTCAAGAGGAGCCAGTTGAGGTGGCTCGAGTATCTGGTCAGGATGCTTCTTGAACTCCTCCTTGGTGAGGTTTTCTGGGCACGTCCAACCAGGAGGAGACCTAAAAGGAGACCCAGGCTAGGGACTATGTCTCTTGACTGGCCAGAGAACACCATGGGATTGCCCCGGAGGAGCTGGCCCAAGTGACTGGAGAGAGGGAAGTCTAGGCCTCCCTGCTTAGGCTACTTCTCCCGCGACCCGACTCCTATAAGCGGACGAAAATGGATGGATCTTTGTCTTTATTGGATTTTCACCACTCTGAAGTCAACCAGATGTTTCTATAATATTTAGCCAAAATTTGGCGCCATAGTGACTAGGAGTCGTCTCAAACACATACTGTGAGCGCTAAGAGATTATGGGAGACCTGCCATAGCTCATCACCATTAGCCAACCCAAAATCAAATGGTCAAACTCAGTTAATTTTACAGATATTGAGCTAAAGTTTTATGTGACACCAGCTGAGATGCGTTAAATGCTAAACAATCTTTTACGTAAAAATTAGCCTCAACTCTGGAGTCCCATTGTTTTGTTAGAACCACTGAGTGGATTTTAATGGAACACTCTGAAAGCCTTCTTTGGATGTTCATCAACAATTTTACTTCTGGAGTAAACCTCGTTTAGAGGGTGGCTGGCTAAAAAACCATCTCATCTAAACATAGGATCACTCAGTTAAAACTGGCTTCAGATGTAGCAGAGAAGGAATCTCTTTCTGGTTAAGCTCTTCTGCACGAGTCACCTTTGTCTCAGAGTCGTTAAATAGGAACAAAAATCAGGTTTTAACAAATTCATGTTTTCTTTGGTCAAAAGAAAAAAACATATCTCCAGCTTCTGAGATCAATACACGAACGTCCTTTATTCAGACGCTTCAGTCTGCATTGATGGAAACAAAACCAGCTGCTCTTTGTGATTTTTAGACAAGGTGCAGCACTCAGAGCAGCAAGAGGGAGTTCAAAACGGTCCTTTTAGATGTAAGTATGGATCGACTGTCATCGCACTGTGATTTTAAAACTGTCGGAGAAAAACAACAAAACAGGATTGACTTTACCTGAAATCGCTTCTATCGTCCTAAACTTAATGAGCTATCCTGTACAACAAAATCTGCAGATCTGAGTGGAACCTCAGCGTGTAGGTGGTACTTACTGAGTTCTCACGGTGCCATCAGTCCTTGGAGGATCAACCCATCCATAACAGCGATGGGAGAAGTGTTTATTTAACTTATTTTAGTGGGGTTTGTGATGTTGTTTGTGATTTTTGGCACCCCTCAATTAAAGAAACAAAATCCCACAAAGTTCTCCAACACACCTGATTTCAATGAATGATTGATTAATAGGCTTCTGGCACACTTGGTTAAGAGGTGATTTAATAATATGATGCAGCTTTTTGCAGAAAGAAACGTTTAAAACGTGCAGGACTGTAGGTCTGAAAGACTGAAGTTCAAATTTCAATTATTAAGATTTTGGATTCTAACAAAGTCTGAGAATAAAAAAATAGAAAAGTCTCTGTAAATATTTATCACCTGACTTTTTCTATCCAATATGACAGACTCCCAACAGTTATCTGCAGTTTAACCCACTTATTTTTCATTTATTTAAGCCTCCTCACTCACACACACACACACACACACACACACACACACACACACTCACTCACTCACTCACTCACTCACTCACTCACTCACTCACTCACTCACACACACACACACACACACACACTTACCGTCCATTTCCTACTGTCTCCCTCATTCTTGCCCTTTCTCACCTTTTAATTTCCTCCTCTTCAGTTTAACTGGTGAAGATACTGACTGATCTCTGGGTCCCTCAGGTGGTCCGGGCTCAGGTAAGGCCCTCCAGAGTGAACGGATGGAGGAGCGGTACGGCTTGCGACGCGTCACCCTGAGCGACCTGTTGTGCAGCGAGCTGCAGCATCACAGTGAAAGAGGGCGAAACCTTCGGGACATTCTAGAGAGAGGAGAAAAACTACCTGAGGTCAGATTTCTTTACTTGTCTTGTCCAAAAGGACTGTCAACTTTTTTTTTCTCAGCAGGTTTAAAAGCTGAGATTCATAAATTTAAGCCTACCCACATTTCTCCGAAAGCAGGCCGATCTGTGGGAGGACTGGTGTAAAATCCTGACAGCTCTGACCTGAAAACACATCAACAAATCAAGAAGTGAAAGATTGTTATTTCACAAAGTCAGAATCTGAAGTCTTATACTCTTTCCTTGCTGTCACAGAGCAGCTTGCATGCTGGGATAATACTGATGTACCGTGTAAAACGCCTTCCTGCCAACAGTAAATTGAAGAGGGACAAGTTAGATGGTGATACACCATTAAGAGCGCTTAAACTGGCTTACACCGAGACTGAACAGCTATACTCAGTGCACGAGAAGAACCTGGCGTGGCTGTCATCCCTTATTAATGGGAAACAGAAATTCACTGACACTCTATGTAAACTATGATGTATTTAAAATCCCTATTTAATGAAGCTCAAACGAGTCCATGAAGGCAGAAATAAATGAAGATTATACAGCAACAAGGTGAATAGATTCATTTATTTGATGAAAAATCTAAACTGAAACCCTTCTTGAGTGTTCAGTTTGAGATCAGACCTGAATGCCAACTGAGACTCAATGGAGAACAAGAAAATAATTAACTAAACTAAATCCAACAGATCTGCAGCTGCAAGGGAACAAAATATTTAATAATATTCCACCAAAGGACATGACATAAGAAAGTGAATAAAGTTAAGTCAATGTGTGACCAAAAGATTTGTGAATGACAAATTATAAATCATCACAAAAACATGGAAAAACATGGTAGCTGCAAACTTTGTATAAAGTTTATATACAGTAAGTGAACGTCCAAATATTCCTTAAGATAAGTGTTTCAAGTGGGATTTTTTACAAAATCAGCTAAAGAAAATTGAGGCTAGCAGTGAGCTAACAATGCTAACGGTGAATTGGCAACAAATAGGTGGCTCTAAAAATATCTCGAGGTACTGTTTTTTTTTGTTTACCAACAAATGGATATTACAGTGAAATGTGTTTATCTACTTATCAACTTACTGTATATGACTCGACTTTGCTCGTCATCCAGAATCTTCAGGTGCTGATCCACCCGGGTACAGTTGCTCAGAGCGAACTCGTTTGTTTTACTACATGGTCTGCAGTACCCAAGTTTGACCACAGGATGGCCTTCTCACTTCATGCTTCTTTAAAGGTTCTTAAATAAGTGGAATAGGAGTTGTCATATCCAGTGTTAGCACACATCGATGTTTTGATTTAGTCAAGTGTGTGTTTGGACTTTGCGACATGCAGTGTGACACGTTTTACGGCGACCCGGAAGTTGGGGAACCGAAGCTGTAGTAGTGTGCGTGTGTTAGAGCTGTTATTAAAGTGAACATAACAGCACAGAAAGTCCCTTCATTCACTTCACATGGTGTCAGAAGTACATGGAAGAAGGAGCTACTGAGGTGACATGGCCAAATTCAGTCCGCCGTCGAGCTTTGCGCCATGGGCCAGGAAGCCGAAAACATCTTCCGGTCCTTCGTCTTTGACGACGTGGCTCACAGAGATGACTTTGACCGGGTGCTGGCCAAGTTAAACGAGTACTTCATTCCCAGAAGGAACGTCATACATGAACGCGCATGCTTTCACCAGCGCACACAACGGCCGGGTGAGAAAGTGGAGACGTTTATAAGAGCATTATACGAACTGTCAGAACACTGTGAATTTGGAGCGGCGAGAGATGAAAACACCAGAGACCGGATAGTTGTCGGCGTGTTGGACAAGGAAGTGTCACGCAAGCTACAGCTGGCTAAAGACTTGACCCTGACACTTACTATCGAGACAGTGAGGCAAGCAGAGGAAATAACAACTCAAATTAACCTACAAGGTGGAGCGGCAGGAGGCTCGGTGAATGAGATTAAAAGAGACCGAGGCAAGTACCGCACACCCCGCAACAAACTGAAAGACAAAGCCCAGCAACGACAGCAGTGCGGCCGATGCGGGAAACCTGGCCGCGATGCAGAAGAAATGTGTCCAGCCAGAGGCTCGACATGCAATTCCTGCCAGAAGGTATGTCACTGGAGAAAAATGTGCCGAACCAAGAAAGTAGTGAGAGAGGTTGTAACAGAACTAGCTGATCAACCTCAATCCTACTTCCTGGGAGCTGTAAACAAGATGGCGGGGGAGAATGAACACTGGTTCATCAAGCTGCTGATAGGTTTGACACCGTTGGAGTTTAAAATAGACACCGGGGCGGACGTAAAAATCATCAGCGAAGAAGCTTACCTGTCAATCACACTTACCCCACTGCTGCAGCCAACACACATCCTATTGGACAGCCCGGGGGGGGGCGGGATAAAATGCATCGGCCGGATCCAGAGCTCAGTTACCTATAAAGGCAAGAAATACCTACTCACAGCGTATGATGCACATGGGAGATCAGTGAACAACCTGCTGAGTAGAGAAAAATCTGTGGAGATGAAACTGGTGAGAATAATTGAGGAGGCAATTCACCAGCAGGTCCGGCCATGTGGGGGGCCATTTGGGGACTATGGAACTTTAAAGACAGAACCAGTAAAAATAGAGCTGAAAGAAAATGTTGCACCTTATGCCGTGTTTACTGCTAGGCGGGTACCTCTCCCGATGTTGCCTAAAGTTAAAGAGGAACTCCAGAGGATGGAAAAAACGGAGTAATCGAGAAAGTGACCTAGCCCATGGAATGGTGTCCTCCAATGGTGCCCGTTTTGAAAACAGCCACTGGCAAAGCTAAAATCTGCGTGGACTTTAAAAGACTGAATGAGGCAGTCAAAAGAGGACGGTACGTTCTCCCCACAGCTGAAATAATAGCTAAGTTTAGTGGTGCAACACTCTTCATCTCATTAGATGCAGCCAGTGGATTCTTCCAGATACCACTGCACCCAGAAAGCTGCAAACTCACCACATTTATCACACCATTCGGCAGGTTCAACTTTAAGCGGCTGCCCTTTGGAATAAACAGTGCTCCCGAAATCTTCCAGAGGAAGATGACAGAGACCCTGCAGGGATTGGAAGGAGTAGAGGTGTTCATGGACGATGTCCTGGTCTTTGGTGCCACAGAGGAAGAGCACAATAGCCGACTCGACAAAGTGCTACAATGCATAAATAGCGCCGACCTGACACTCAACCAAGATAAATGTTCCTTTAAACAGAGAGAACCACATTTTTTGGGCACCTTATCAACCAGTCTGGAGTCCGACCCGATCCGGACAAAATCAACGCCATACAACAACTTTCTCCACCCACAAATGTGCAGGAATTGAAAAGAATCCTAGGAATGGTGAACTATGTGGGGAAATACGTTCCCAACCTGGCAAAGGTTGGAGACCCCCTGTACACACTGCTGAAGCGGAAAAACACCTGGAGCTGGGGACCCCCACAACACATAGCATTTGATAAGAACAAAAAGCTACTCACGACGGCGCCAGTGCTGACATTCTATGATGTGTCCAAACCGACAGCTGTGTCAGCCGAAGCGAGTGGCTATGGGCTCAGGGGGTGCTGCTACAGCTCCACGACGGCCAGTGGAAGCCAGTTGCATACTAGGCGACTGACGGAGGTGGAGACCCGCTACGCTCAAATCGAGAAGGAGCAGCTGGCAGGTGTATGAGCGTGTGAAAATTTCCAGATATATCTGGTGGGACTAGGAAGATTCCAGTTAATCACAGACCATAAAATGCTTGTGCCCCTCATCAGCTCCAGCAGCTTAGACAACGTTTTGATCTGGTGTCAGCATCTCCTCGTGAGACTGATGAGGTTTAATGCCATGGCAGAGTACGCATCGGGAAAAACATTGGTAGTTGCAGACACCCTGTCACGCTGCCCGTCAACCTGCACCAAAGATGCAACCATCACAGGCAGCGAAATCGCCTCCTATGCAGCTACTGCGATCGAGTGGATCTCCGCATCTGTGAGCAAGTTGGAGGAAATAAAAACTGAAATGTCACTAGATCCGGAACTCAGAACAGTGATACAGCTCAGCAGGTCTGTGGCCCGAACACCAGCAGAAGGTACCGGCAGAGGCCAAAGAGTACTTTCAAGTCAGGAATGAACTGTCAGAGCATGAGGGCTTCCTACTCAGAAGTCATCGGATCGTAGTACAAAATCATTGAGGAATAACATACTGGGGAACATCCATGAGGGTCACCAGGGACTTGTAAAGTGCAGACAGAGAGCATACTCGGCTGTCTGGTGGCCAGGACTCGCTGCAGAGCTGAACAAGCTTCTGAGAACTTGCCCAAAATTCACTGAAGAGAAAAGAACACAACTGAGAGAACCGCTCATTTCAACACCCCTGCCTGATCGGCCCTGGAAAAGGGTTGCCATGGACCTCTGTGAGTACAATCATCAAAACTTCCTAGTCGTGTCTGTCACAATCTGCCCCGCTCAATAAACATCTCACATAATTCACAGCAGTTGTTCCAGTTTTTGTGTATTAGGTGGGCGTGTCGGAGAGCCAGCTGCTCCTGATCTCCCTGATCAGAGGACCAGGGGTACTTAAGGAGCGGTGTGACACAACTCCAGTGCCGATTGATACTCGCATCTTGGGTAACACTAGCCTGTCTCAGCTTAGTTTTTGATACTCTGTATTTACTCTAGTCTGTCCATTCCTGTCAGCCCTGGTCTTGTATTCTGAAAGGATTTCTACTCATCTGTCCCTCAGGATTTACTCACCGCCGCCTGGAGTTGTTATTCTACATCACGTTGCTCACTGTCCCTTGGTCTCCTCTCTCTCCACCGCCCGCCTGTCGTCCTGCCCGCTTCCCAGTCTGCCTACCGACATCCTCCAGATCTGCAGCAATATCTGCCTCACTATCTGCCACACAACCTGTTCACTCATCCCAGCCTGGATCCTCGGCTTCTGTGTCCTGTCTGTCCCCGTTTGGCTTCAACTACCCAGCCCAGCCTCACCAAAGACCAAAACGTTCCCAGTAAGAGAAACTCTCCAAAACCATTCCTGTTCTGGTTCTCTGGTTCCAGGATTTGTTTTTGTGATTTTAATCCCAGTCTGTTCTTTTGTTCTAGATCTCGGTCCCTCCTGTTCTCGTTTGGAGTAGTGCTTTATTTTTACTATTGGTTCTTAAATAAATATTATTTGTAATTTTACTCACCCCCGTCTCCACTTGTGATTCTTTCATGTCCTGGGTTAAACATATTCCCAACATGACAGTGTCTGATTGTTATTCAAGGTTCTTAGAGATAATGCGTCTCCCTACAACCACCAGTGCACAGGTTATCCAGAACCTTAAGACTGTTTTTGCCAGATTCGGCATCCCGGACAAGGTGGTGAGCAGTAATGGGCCTCAGTTTGTGAGTGCAGAGTTCCGGGAGTTTGCCAAGAGTCTGGACTTCAAGCACTGCACCTCGAGCCCTCACCACCCACATGGTACTGCCATGCCATGCAGAATGGGCCGTGCAAACTGCCTAAAAGATATTGAAGCAACAGGACCCTGTGATGGCCATACTGGTCTAAAGATCCATTCCCTGCTCCACCACAGGTTATAGTCCTGTGGAGCTTTTGTTAGGAAAATCTCCGACCCAAGTGGCCCAATAAATCCGTGGTGAGTGAGAACGACAGGAGAGGACAAGCGAAGCAGGCTTACTACTACAATCGTCACTGCGGATCCAGATCACTGCCACCACTGCGCCCTAGGGACAGAGTGCTGTCCAAGCTGGACAATCAGGCATTGTGAGCTTCACCGGCAGTCATCACCGGAGGGAGCATCACTCCGAGATCCTACATCCTGCACACACAGGATGGGGACACGCTGCGTCGAAACAGGCATCACCTGCAGCCGGAGCCACTCTATGACCCCACTGCAGCACAGCCTATCAGCACACAGACACATCCTGTGACGGACTGTCAGTCCCTGACTCCTACTTTGACGGGAGCTGGTCCGGCTAGTCAGGCCGCTGCCGCGGAAGACCCCCCACTCACTAACCAGACTGTGACAAGGTTGGGTCGTGTGTCCAAACTGGTTCAGAGACTGGACTTATAGTCGCCCTTATGGCCTGTTACCAAAGAGGGTAACTAGTTTCACTGGGTTAAGTTGAGACCCTGTTCACTTGGTTGTTTGTTCTGCAAGATAAGTTTATTCATTTTATTTTAGGCTAACTGCTATTTAATTTGATTTTTAAGAAATATAAATAGCCGTTAAAAAGGGGGGAGATGTCATATCCAGTGTTGGCACACACCGATGTTTTGATTTAGTCAAGTGTATGTTTGGATTTTGCGACATGCGGTGTGACACGTTTTACGGTGACCTGGAAGTTGGGGAACCGAAGCTGTAGTAGTGTGTGTGTGTTAGAGCTGGTATTAAAGTGAACATAACAGTACAGAAAGTCTCTTCATTCACTTCACAGGAGTTTTATCAATACATTTGCAGTTGTCTATAGTAGTAATGAATGCCTGGGGGGAAGAAATACACCAGTGCATCATTTCTCTGACCCGTCACCTAAAAGTTACCCACATCACAGCTGAGCTTCAGACTGCAGGTATTTCCTGATATTTGAACATCTCGCCCCAGATTGGATAACAGAAACGCGACTCTACCACTGACTTGCAATGAGGATGTTTTATCTCCACAAATAGCTCAAGCCTGGAGGATCTTCTGCCGTGTGTTGGTGTTGCTAATGCTAACGGTTAGCTTAACTGAGACGTCCGCTGCTGAGTCCCGGATGTCGAAACAACAGCCTTCCCTGTTACGAGTCAAGATGGGTGATTCCATCGATGTTAATTCACAGACATGTCAGGATTTTCAATGTTTTCAATCAAAAGCTAATGCAGGAGATATGTGTAGGAGACTATTTTCATGTTCAGCCTGCATGACAAACTCAGAGGGACTGATTATAATCAGAGAAAATAATTACAAATGATTTTCAGTCAACCACACCTTTAAAAAAATTTGACACAAAAGGCTCAGATTTTTAAATGTTTCTTTTCAGTGTGAAAATAAGAACTCTGCTTCAGCCAAAGTACAGATAAAATTACAAATAACCCTAAAAAATCTCGTGTACTCAAACTATTTGCTGATCAGTTGAGATTCATGTCATTTTGCACATTCTTGTTGCAACCTACAAGAATTTAAAGGCTGGGGTTTTTATGCCAAATAATAATTTCCTTGTTTTTCATGTTTTAAACCTGACTAAATTTAATATTAGAAATCACATATGTGTTTATGAAAGCAGTACAAATCCTGCGAGAACTGACAGAACATACCTGTATTAAGCAAAAAACACATTTTAAAGGATCTAAGACTTAGAATTGCATGAACTTTTATTCAGCCAGTCAGCACATGGTGCTTTACCCTTAATAAAAAATGCTTCTGATCATCTAAAGACTGATAACTAATGCTTCTCAGGATTAATAACCAGGACCGTTCTGTTTCCTTCTCTAAGTGATAAAGGAAGTAGAACAAATATTTCCGTATGCACCTTCCTCTGACATATTACAGATCCAAATGGGACTTTAATCACATTGTAAAGGTGACGAATAACCTCGTTCCACCATCCATGATTCTCATTTTATCAGCAGAGCAGTGAGTCTTCCTGGTGCAGAAAAACATTGAGTTTAATACATGACCTGTGCTGCAGGTCTGTGACATTTCACATCAAAACACAATCTACCATCACTCAAACACATATCCCGTGTGTGTGCGTGTGTGTTTTATACCTGAATGAGTCACAAATTCTGACTGGACTCCACAATAAAAGATTTTTCATCTCAGTCTTTCCCTGAAGGATTTGAAGGGCAGCATTAAGTCACCGATAGCTGAAAACAAAAGGTTGAGCTTTAAGTTTGTTTTATTTTTAGCTGTTTCCAAGAAAATGATGCACTCAAGCCCAGATACAGTACTCTGAGGTTTGGAGTCTAGTTATTACCATGAAGCATTAAAAACACCCGAGTGAGGCAGGCAGCCACGTTGTTCTCCATCATGAGAAACACAGCAAGTCGTTTATTCCAAGTGAATCTGACGTTTACCAGCAGGAACACACCTGAATTATAAATGTGCATCAAAAAGTTGCTGAAAATGGTTCAAACAACACCCTAACTAAAACAGCTGCTGCATTTCTAATTATGTTTGAATTAATTACTAAGGAGGTGTTTTTGAGCGCATTTGGATTAAAAACATTCAAGGGCAGCTACTTAAGTTGTTTGAAAAAGAAATCCAGTATTGCCTTGTAGACATTTATGAACCTTTGATAACTGTTTTTTGTGCATTTTTCAGCACCTTGCTGCTGATTCAGGTCCCTTTGTTGCTCAAGGATCTTCATTTTCTAAGAAATAAAGGATAGCTGGAGTTCACAGAATGCTTCTATAATGTTTCTTGTGTAAACCAAGACCAAGGGCTGAGTAGCATCACTGATGTTACTGGGTTTATTAAAAAAGATCTATCTTTCTCCTTATCAACTCAACACGGAGCCCCCTTAGAGGCAAAAGATCCATACTTTGATACTACTCTAAACATAAATCAACAAAATAAAAATCATCCAGACCCTTACCTTATATCCATTATTCTTGTTTCAAATCGTTACATATTGTCATTTTGAGACATGTAAAAGGTGCAATTTGTAAGATTTCTACTGTGAAATAATCAGAAAACAGTCAAATGCCTCAAACATGTTGGAAGGAAGGTTTTATTGAAAAAGATTATCTGGCTGGGGGTTCTCGGTTTTTTCCTTTTGAAAAAGCGAAAGCAGGATGTAGTTGCTGTTTGTGAGATTGTAATTCCACACTGGCAGGCAAAAAGCTCCAGAGTTGTTTAAAGAACTGAAGCCAGTAAACAGGAGCGACCCAGAAGTAATTTCTCGCACCCGCCTCGGCATCTTTATGTTTTACTCTAATATCAGGTAAAGAAGGCTAGAGGCTAACACTGAGCTAACAATGCTAATGCAGAATTAGAAGCAAATAGTCGTCTCTAAAAATATCTCAAGCTACTTTTTGAATTACCAACAACTCGATATTACAGTGAAATGTGTATGTGAAGTAAAGAATGAGTCAATCTTGGTGTTTTACTTTCTTTAAAGGAGCCATATCATGCTATTTTAAATCTTTGAGAGCAAAGGTAGGCACTATATATGATAAAGTATTACTGTTGGCACTACTGAGATGTAATTTATCATAAATATCAGTTATTTTTGTCTGCCTGAATTTATACCCGGAACAGAAAGGGTTTGTTTCAGCAAAGCTCCGCATATGCCTGCTCCGACAATAACATCTTCAGCAAGCCTGCTGTTGTGTTGGCCTTGGTAGTCCAACAGTTTGAGCACCCAGTCTGGCACTCTAACCACTGGACTACCTAGTCTGTTACAAAACAGTAGACAGGACTCATGCTTTTTTACAGCAGTGTTTTGTCACAGAATAAGAGTGAGAAAGTTATGTTTTTGCTTTAAAAAATAGACTGCAGTAACCACATTTAACCGTGGGGTGTCATTTTTACAAATTGCATCAAGTATCAATTTTAAGCATATCAAAATTTAAATAAAAAAACAACATTAAATAAAACAAATTTTATAATTTAGAGTTAATTAAAATACATTTTGATAGACTTCAATAAGTTGCCTTCTTGTTGCTAAAGAAAGAAAGTTAAAGTCAAACAGAAGTGGCATAAACCACACACACAGCACAGTGTATTACAGAGAAGGTATCGGGGCAATATGCTGGTGAAGGTTGTCAGTCATCCAGGTCATGGTAATCCAAAAGGGTTCAAATGAAGGCAACTGGATTGGTTTCTTGAAGATGTTTCGCTTCTCATTTAACTAATTTTCGAAAAAGACCAGCTGCCTTCATTTGAACCTCTTTGAAGGTATATCGGGCATTACTAAAGAAAGATAACAGAGAGTTTCTAGTTACAAGGAAACATGGAATACTATATTTGTGCTAAAACAACTGTACGGTCACCAGAGGGGGCAGAACAAAAACAACGTAAACTAAACATCAAAACAGTGTATTACAGAGAAGGTAACAGGGCATTACTAAAAATGCACAACTGCCAGTGGGTTAAACTTAAGAAACTACAAAGTGAAAGGGGATCAGAAGTGGGGGAGCAGGTAGGAAAAGCAGAAACAGTGATGAAGGGGGAAAGGGTGAGGTAAAATCATGTAATCAGGAGAAATGGGAGACAGGGGAGGGAAGGGGAAGAGAGAAATTTTGACAGACACTATGTTTGCATTTCAGGGACAAATTTGCTACACATTTAAACACAGATAAATAAAATGACTTCCATAAAAACAAATGATACACTCTGCTGATTTAAATTTCATATAAAAAGTGCCGCACACAGATTTACTCTAACTTAGTCCGTTTTTTTTAAACAACTGCTTTCAAGCTCAGCCCAGCTGTCTAAGCTTCTTACTGCACATTAAGGCCGAGTCCCATGTGTTTTCCAATTTGAGAACATCAAAATCTTTTTTAATGGGCGAGACAGAATAGAAAAAGGAAGACAGCGATGAATAATCCCACAGAGGGATTACTGAAGTGCACCTCTCTGGGATTTAAAGGAGAGCGTGTTACAAAAATCACTCACGTCTGAGTTTTAGCCTGCGATGAGATAAAACACTGTCCACTAAAACTAATCATAATAATACAAAGTTGTTTTGTAGCCACACAGTTGCCGTGCAACACAATTTCCTCAATGGAGCAAGTTTTGAGTGTGTGTGTGTGTGTCTGTGTGTGTGTTATTATGAACTATGAATATATTTCTACAAAGAGCTGTAAAAAAACAAGTTTTTTCCCACCTGCAGATTTGTTTTTTTCGTCATTTAGTCAAACCAGTAGAATATTTTTTTCAAAAGTCATCAACATGAAGTAGGTTACAAGATTTCAAAATGCAACACATTGTCACGATACAAAGATGGTTAGGACCCAAAATGCAGTAACCCAGGATGACACGAGGCAGGAGTTGAATATATATTTTTTTTAAATCCTTTATTTTAGGAGTAACCAAAAACAAAAGTAATCCAAAAGGCTGGGAGCCAACAGTCCAAAAATCCAGATAGAGATCTGGAGATCCAAAAATACAAGAGGCACGAGAAGACTTGACAGAATTACAACAATGGACCAACACCAAACAGAGACAAGACAGGGCTTAAATACACAGGGAGAACAATTAAGGAAACAGGAAGCAGGTGTGTGGAGTGAAGACTGGAGGGAAGGCAAGTGACAATAATTATCTAAATGAGGAAACCGAACCAAAGGAGGACAGATAAACCTAAAACTATAAACACAAAACCAAACTAAAAGACTGTGGGAAGGACTCACACACACACACACACACCATCACACACAAATGCACTCACACACATACACTGAACTGGGAAATGGACACGCACACACACACACACACACACACACACAAACACCAAGAGCAGGGGAATGAATGACACAGGACCTGGGAGGAAATGATTTTAAAGGGCTACAACATAAGACACATAACTGAGACGCAGACAAAGGACACATGAGGGCGCTATAAGATACAAAAGGGAATCAAGAGAGGGATGGAGAAACATCAGGAGACACATGAAGGAAGACGCAGACGCAGACCATGACATTAAGACAAAAGTAACTGATATCAAAAGCACTGCAGGCATCACTAGTGTCAAGAATCTCCCATTTACACCCAAAAACTTCCTAATCACCCTTTTGGGAAAATTATCTGAGTACTCAAGATACACAAATGGAACGTTCTGGAAGTTGTGTGTCTCCTTCTTGCATATGGGGTAAAACTACCTCTAAGACATCAAACTAACAGTGAAGCACGGTGGTGGCAGAGTGATGGTCTGGGGCTATCTTGCAGTTTTAGGACCTGAACACCATTTACTGTCACTGAACCATGAATTCTCTTTAGCAAGAAATCCTGAGAAAACATATGACCTTTGACTTTAAACAGGCCATTCGTGCTAGACCCCCACCCCCACCCCACCCCACCCTCACCCCATGTGGTTGGAAAAAAAAACAAAGGAGAGCAGTTATCCCACCGGTTATCCAGTTAAGAATGATGCAACCAGTTAACTTTGCCACACTGGGAATTAAAAAATCTGTAAGGAGACATATACGTCTGTCCGCCGTCGGGGACATCTGTTTTCATCATCAGCTATAAAGGGACATAGATCCACTTACCATCCACTCGCTTCTAAAGAGAAATGCTGCAACGATTATTATAAAACTAAAGGAAATGATGGAAAAATCACCTTCTCACATTACGCTCAACTGCTTCATTCAAGAATATGTTAAAGTGTCTGTTTGCCAGATTATTTAACAGCTAATTCTCTCACTCTCTGAATTGTAATCTGTAATACTCTGCTAAATATGTTCTTGATTCAACATTATGATGATTTGTCAAGGAGCTTTTCTGTGATATGGATGACTAAAATAATAGCAGTATGTTTCGACGAATTAACCAGATAATAACTGTATTTAACGATTTTAAATAATGATGAGCTGCAGTTGTTTGGAGCTCAGCAGTTTTATTCAGCGGGAGTTATGCTGTTAAAGAAATACATTTTATATTTCAAATGTGATCCACACATCCCATATTTATCAGAGTATACATTAGCGGATGGATTTATAAATATGTTAAATCGCGTTCCCAGCGATGACGTTTGTGTAAATTACTACAGAATCATGTCTGAACCGAGAGAAAATCAAACTAAACTTATTAATGCTCAAAATACATCAGTAGCTATCAGTTCTGATCCAACTGAGTTTTCATATTGAATACAAAATGATTTATATAATAACTGCAAACAGAAAAGATGCATATAATTAAAAGAAAAATATTTTTACATTGAATAATCTGTTTATTCTCATTTAAAATGTGTTAATATTACTAAACAGCTATTCACAACAATTAAAAACACAATATTAATAACACTATTTATGATAATAATGACAACTATTTCATTCCTTTATGGCAGTGGTCCCCAACCTTTATTCCTTGAGGACTCCGTTTCCAGACTCCCCCAATCCCTTCTCCCACATACACACATTAAGGTTTATTCTGACATAGAGGCACAACTCATATAGAGTTTTTGATCATACTATTGGGTGTGTTAATGGGGTTTTATAAATGTCATTTTTACCATTACAATCTTGGTAACCTCACTACCTGAAAACAGAGAAAATTGTGGCGACCCCTGCAATCTTGTGGGGTTACAGACCCCAAGTTTATGGCATATTAATGTCCATTATGGAGGCACACAGTGTCCTGATTTACATTTTCTTCTTTGTTTGTTGAGCTTTTCGCAAAACCTTCAGCATGAACTAATGATGCACCCATATGTAAACGTGGGTCTATTAATAACACTTAACAGCTTTAGTTATTTACCTTTATTTTAAAGAATGATTCATATCGACTGATACCGACATTGTGTGATCTTAGTGTGAACCTCAAAGCTTTTGTTGTTCTTATCAAATTAATGGTAGTTTTATGAATGAATAATTAATTTTGAAAATTAAACAATTAATGACTGGTAATTATTGGTTTGGGCTCTATCCTACACTGCAAAAACTGATTTAAAGGAAAGTGAAAAAGAAAAATGTTTAGACATTTTATCTTTTTAACTCAAAAGAAAAAAAATCTTCACTAGAAAATAATTCTTAAAACTAGCAAAATAATCTAATTTTAGAATTATTATTTTTCCCCTAGTTTTAAGAATTCTAGGCAAGCAATTTTGCTAACCCCATTGGTGGAATTTTTACTTAAAAAAGAAAATTTGTGTCATATTTAAGAGTAATTTACCTAATTTTAAGTAAAGCTAATTTTCAAGAGAAAATGTTTTTCTTCTTAAACTAAAAAAACATTTTTTTTACATCCTTAGAAATCACTTATTGTAGTGTACTGTGATTCACATTTAGTTGTATGTTACTTTTTTGCACAGTAATGTATAACTCGGTGTGTGTGTGTGTGTGTGTGTGTGTGTGTGTGTGTGTGTGTGTGTGTGTGTGTGTGTGTGTGTGTGTGTGTGTGTGTGTGTGTGTGTGTGTGTGTGTGTGTGTGTGTGTGTGTGTGATCTGCAGGACACGCTGCTGGAGCTGCTGTGTGACTCTGTGGCCTCGTCGGTGCAACGGGGAAAGGGCCTTGTGGTCAGCGGATTCCCCAGAGACCTGAAACAGGTGGAGGAGTACGAGGCCAAGGCAAGCGGTTGGAAACATGAATAAAAGATGAAAATGTTAGACACACGCCATGTTCCTACTTAAAGGAGGGAAAAGTGGATGAGTCATGGGGGAGTCTGGGGTGTCATGCAGCACTTTCAGTGTGATAAAAGGAAACTAAAGGTGACTAAAAGACAGGAAGTAATATTTGCAAAGAAGGATGCACATAAAAAAGAAACAAGAGCTGTGATTTGTGAGGCACAAATGGATACAATCAGAGGTTTACCATTTTCTCCACAGATGGGGGAACCCAATGTGGTGCTCCTGCTCAGCTGTTCTCCAGAGACCATGTCCAGTCGACTGCAGCATCGGGGCAGATCCCTCTCTGCTTCAGACAGCGAGAACATCCTGCACAGGAGGGTCGAGAGCTTCTTCAGCGACAGCCAGGTTGTCACATCTCACTACGAACGCAAAATGCTCCTCCACACGGTAAGATCAGCATCACATGCTTGTATGAGCTCAGATTTCCTCTGAGCCACCATCTATATAAAACCATTTCATCTGCTGTAGTGGCCACCTTTAGGATGGAGTTGGAAGGTTTCAGTGCAAAAGACATTACATTTTATGAGTCAGCAGGATTGCTGAGGAGCAACTAGACATAAATTAGTCTGCAAGGGACCAGAATGCTCAATATTTGTGCATAATTTAATAATCAAAAACATTACAATTGAGCATAAGTTTGCACCATTTCCCATAAACTAGTGGTTTTGCTTCATGTGTGTGCAGCTTTAACAGCGTTGGTCACATCAGAGGCAATAGTATCTTTGTTATCGTCTCTCCACTCAGCACAGAAACTAGAGGAATCAACTCAGATGAAGCTAATCACATTTGTTCTTTTTCCTCCGCTGTGGCTCAGCACAGCAAGGGCATCATTCATTCAAACCCACGATTATATCAGCGCAGATGTGAAAACCTGAACTGAAAACTCAGATTCTGCAGAAAAATACACAGCATTTATAAAAGATCTATTCAGAAATATATGTACTATACCAGTGATTTTTTTCCGTTCTTTTATCACAAGATACATAAGCATATAATTGAGAGGATAACGTCATCCCATAATTAATTTCACTAGTTATTGTCATGGTCGTCTGCGTCTGCCCCCTCCTTTATGTGTCTCCTAATGTTTCTCCATCCCTCTCTGGATTCCCTTCTGTGTTCTCTTAGCGCCCTCATGTGTCCTTTGTCTGCATCTCAGTTTAGTGTCTTATGTTGTTACCTTTTCTAATCTTTCCTCCCAGGTCAGCTCCAGCCTCTTTGTCCCCAGCTCAGTGTGTGTGTGTGTATGTATGTGTGTGCGGTTATGTGTGTGTGGGTGTATGTGCTATGTCCTCCTCCAGCTAGTTTGTGTGAGCCCTTCCCTCTGTCTTTAGGTAATTGTTGTTTAGTTTTGTGTTTAGGTATTTGCCCTCCTCTGTTTCTGTTTTCCCCATTGAGATAATTATTGTCACCTGCCTTCCCTCCAGCCCTCACTCCACACACCTGCTTCCTGTTTCCTTAATTGTTCTCCCTGTGTATTTAAGCCCTGTCTTGTCTCAGACTTAGTCCACACGTAGCTGGGGTTTTTTAAAAACGAATATCCGCCCCTCCAAAAACTTGCATCCACACCACCGCATTTTAAAAACAAACTCTGTCCACACGTACCCAGATAAATACGTTGTTAAGGACATGCCAGACCTGTAGGCGGCAGTACTTCCCCCGTTCTGAACCTCGTCCTTCGTCTGCGGTCTTCCGCAAGGAGCAGTAATTCCGTTTGCAAAAACAAACAAGCAAAAAGCGCTTGGACAATTGATAAAGCGAGCGCAGCTCTGAGGGCTTCCATGATGCCGGCTAGTGTAAACACAGGTCGTACACGTGATGTCAGCATTGTTTGTCGCGGAAAGTGACGTTGCGGACCTTAAAACTCCGGTTTTGTCTGTCCACACGCAGACACCCAAAACGGAGAAAACGCAGATCTTCACTTTGGCCGGAGTTTTTAAAAAGATCCGTTTTCATGTGAAAAAACTCCGTTTTCGTGTGGATGACAGGCCAAAACGTAGAAAAATATCTACGTTTTGGCAGATCCCCGGCTACGTGTGGACAGGGCCTCAGTGTCTTGTCGGAACAGGAAGTCTATGAAGGCCATATATGATGTTGGATTGATCAGATCAGTATTAGATTATGGGTGTGTAGCATATACTTCAGCAGCAAAAACTACTCTTTTAAAATTAAATTCTATCCAGAATCAGGCACTGAGACTCTGTACAGGAGCATTTAGAACAACCCCAATAGCAGCTTTACAGGTTGAGATGGGTGAGATGCCAATAGAAATCAGAAGGGAACAAATGGCTTTAAATTATTGGGCAAATCTTCAGGGTCAGAAGGATGATCATCCAACACAAGACATACTGAAACCTTGCTGGGAGAAAGAAAAGAAGGATACGAAAAGTTTTGGATGGTTGATGATCAAAAAACCAGTAGAACTTAAATTAGATCTGTTTAAAATCAGTCGAAGAGTTCCATTGCCTGCTATTCCACCATGGATTCTTCCTGAGGCTTCTGTTGATTTGTCATTGTTAGAGAGAAAGAATAAGGATAAGTCATTCATACTAAACTCACATACAGCACAGGATTATATCGATCACTATTATAACTTTGTAAAAATATATACAGATGCATCTAAAGATACTGCGGATCGTATTGGTATAGCTTTTATTGTCCCTGAGTTTCATGTTACAGTTAAAAAAAAGGGTGAGTGATGGATTGTCAGTGTACACAGGAGAAATGCTCGCAATACTGTTAGCTGTTCAATGGGTGGAAGAACACAGACCATTATTCTCAGTTATTTGTTCAGACTCCAGCTCTTCATTGACCAGTTTACGGTGCAGCCATTCAGAAAGCAGACCTGACGTACTCATAGAGATTCAGCAAACACTTTATAGAATAACCATGATGGGACTTACGATACGTTTTTTATGGATTCCAGCTCATTGTGGAATCAGGGGGAATGAAGAAGTCGATAAGGTAGCTAAGGAAGCCACAATAAGTACATCGGTTCAGTTGGATATTGCATTTTGTCGAAAAGAGGTAAAGAGCATGATAAGGCAAGAGATGATGAAAAAATGGCAAAAACAATGGGAGGAGGAAAGGAGGGGAAGGTGGTTGTATATGATTCAAAGAAGAGTAGGTGACATGAGAAACACTGGACGGAGTAGGAGAGAGGAGGTGATCATTTCTAGACTGAGGTTTGGACATACTGGATTAAACAATGCATTGTTCATAATAGGGAAACATAATACAGGGAAATGCGATTATTGTGGAGAAGAAAAAAACTATAGGTCATGTTATATTACAATGTCAGAAATATCAGGCAGAAAGGAGGAAAATGATTCAAATTCTTAGTCGGATGGAAGTGACACTCGACCTTCTTGATTTATTAAGACGTAATTCAAAAATGACTGTTGTCAGGTTTTATTTCAGTTTTTGAAGGAGATACGGGTGTTTGGGAGAATTTGATGTATGTGTGTGTGTGTGTTTGTGTGTGTGTTTTTGAGCGCTATTCCAGACCACACTCCACACTAGTTGGTGGCGGTAATGCACCATTCGTTGTGTGCCAACTGCCATTTAAACCCCAGAAGAAGAAGAAGAAGAAGAAGTGTCTTGTCGGTCCGTTGTGTATTTGTATTCTGTCAGCGTTTGTTTGTGCTCTTGGTGAGCTTTGTTTCTCCAGCTCAGGAGTTTTGGGACTTTAGGCTCGCTGCCTGGATTTATTTTTGTTCATCCTTCGCAAATAAAGGATTTTACCTTACATCATCTCCTGCCTCGTGTCATCCTGGGTTGCTGCATATTTGGGTCCTAACATCCTCCAAAACGTGACAGTTATCTTTTTGCTGATTTACCTGATTCTGCATAAATCTGCTGTTTTCATACATTTAATAATGTTCAGATCAATAAATCAGAGCAGACATGTCAGGTTTAAACCCCTAAGACATCATACACAAAGAAGAAAAGAGACACAAAGGTCAGAATTCTGTTTTATGCTCGAGGAAAATGGAAATAAGGTCTGACCAGCACAGTCTCCACTGTACCGGCAGATCCTCCAAAACCACTCTGCCTTTGAAATCTGAGCGTGTCCTTTTATTACAAGCTGGGCGGGTCCCTGGATACATGCCTGAGAGCTGACACTGAAGGATGTGGGAAATCACAGCCCTCAGTATTCAGTAATTGTTACAAGTTTCACACAGAAGAGCATTCAGCATCACACAATGAACATAATGTTTTTCTAATCCGTGTCTAATCACACAATGTGCAACAGACAGTTGCACGAGTCAGCAGTTGTCCTTGGGTCACATTAGGTCAGGACCAAGGCTCAGCATTCTTAAAGTCTCCTTGTGAGACTTCAAACAATACAGCAACTGTTCAGCATAAATGGTAAAATCTTTAAAGGGGCATTATGGAAGTTTGACAGCCAAAACATGTATAGAAATAATAAATTTCTTCTTCATACATTCTCCTGCAATGCCCTGGTCCTGTAGAATGAGCCCTGGAATTTTTACTGTGATTGCCTGTTTTTCTGTAAAATCACAGAAAAAGAGAGCTGCTCTGGTCGAGCAGGCTGCTTCATGCGCGTTCACGCTCAGGCATAGCCTGTAGCATTTGCTGTCCGTAGCTTTAGCAGCAGAGAGTGAGGCAGTGCCACTTTGTCGCTGTTCCTAACGCCTAGTGACAAAGCTAGTTACATTTCTGAGGACCCTTAGCTACTTTTTGTAGAACTTTCTTCTAGATATTTCCTGCAAATTAGCAACAAAATAGCTATTTTCGCTCTGAACCGTTCTTTGAACGTTGTTTCAGCTGTCATCAAGGATATAAATGTTACAGATACAAAGGATGTCACTGGCGCTTTAGCTCACCTAGTAAGATGTTACATTCTCGTGCAGAAGACCTGGGTTTGATTCTGGATGTGAACATAGTTTATTTAGAGTTTATTTTTTACATTAATGGTATATTTTTTTTACAGTAAAATGCCCAAATTTTTATTTGAAACTCGCAGAACAGCATAGAATTCACAGATAAAAAAAGATGTGGGTTCAACTTTCATTTTGGAACAATTTTTCAAGCAAGGGAAGGGCATGATCTGAGCATGCAGGAGGACTGACCCATCTTAAACCTTTGTCGGCTGTGCTGAAGAGAAAAGTACAGAACCAAATTATTTAATTAATTAACTGCGCGTTCTCCTGTCCTCTGTCCTCCGGGCCACACACACACACACACAAGGTACTGTCTCAGCTGTTATTTTCGTTAAGGAGTGTACACGTACAGCATGCACGCCTCGCACACGAGCCTACTATTGAAGCTGCCGTTACGCTTTTGGCCTGAGGGGGCAATCGCGAGCATAAAAATTCAAAACTCTGTAAAGTCCCTTTAAATGTAATAAAAGCATAAAGCATGAT